GCCTGGGCGCCCCCCGGCCCCCGCCTCAGCCGGGGCCTGCCTCACGCGGCGGGGCTGCTTTTTAAGCACGGTTTAAAAAATGTGTGTGTATATATATATAAATATACACACATTTTATATATATATATAAAATGTAAAATGTTTGTCTGTTTTCTAGGACACGCAGGATTGGAATCATGTCGTCAAACTACTTGAAGAGTCAAACTCAGTAAGTAAGGCTGGTGTCTCACGATTTTGGTTGCACAGATGAAAAGGGGGCTTAGGAAAATATTTTAGGCGCGTGCTTTTGTACCTAATCCTAAGTAAACCAGATGGCGCCGCTGGCTGGGGCTACAAAGCACAAAGCTGAAGAATGTGTAGCGGCGCTTGAAGACATCTTCTAAAGAGGTTCATCATAGCAGAGAGTGGTATCTATGGGTATTTTTTATTAAACAACCCAGTTCACCCCTACACAGATATTTTTCCAAAAAAAAACCCCAAAATTGTGTGCATTTAAAAACCAAATGTGCAAAATGTTTAACTTCTCTCGAAGTTTTAGAATGCTGAAACCTACAGCTGAAAAACAGAAATATATTTAGAGCTATTTAAAGCATGCCAGGAATTTGTGTAAGTGCCTGAGTTAACTGCTGAGGTTTCTCCAGGGAACTGACTTTAAAGGAGGGAGAACTATACACAGTTCAGTGCTCAGGAACTAGTATGACTACCTAGGCACACGGACGAGTACTATCTCGTGGACTTCCATAAACTATTTTTCATCTCTATGAGAAGATTTGATGGATTAAATTCACTAAGTCATTGGTTGCTTTTGATTAAAAACAAAAAAAAACCCTAATAATTTATATCCTTAAAACAAGAATTTAATTAAACAGCATGCCACATATCAAGTTAACGTCCCACGGAGAACTTGTGTCCTTTTTTTCTTCTTTCGAGGCAAGGTTGATAGAATAAACTCTTACTAACTAAATAAAATTGTGCTGGATGATACTGTTTACTGCCTGTCTAGAAAGCATGAGAGAGATAATAAAACACCCTCAGGGTTCTGGGCTTATAGATGCCTGAAACAACTCTTTGGCCTACCTCAAGTTGCAGTAATCTTGCCCAGCAATGAGTGCTGCGTATCGTCACTGGCACACCCTGATGCAGCCTTACTTCAGCAGTTTTCAAATTTGAATGTGCAGGCTGTTTTCTAGCGGTGACAAAGCCACACTCTAAGCCACTTAGATCTATGTTTATACACATTGGAGTCACATTTAAGTCTCCTGAACATAGGTTTGGATTTTTCTAAATTATCTTTCACAGAATCCCAAATAAATTAGTAGGAAAAGCCCACACATTTGAACAAAACTTGCAGTTTTAAAAAGTCTCCTCAGTTACTAGAATGTAGACTGTATATTTAGAAATAGGGCTTGATCAAAGAACCAATCCTGCTACAAAGCACTTTCAGAATTTCGTTGTGTCCTGTGACTTTTTAATCTGGCTTCCACTTTTCATTTAAACTTAAAAGAGGATGAACATAATCACTTAAGGTTCTAAGGAAAACTGCAATTGAAACCTGCTTTTCATTCTTTTATTTAAGAGTAATTTGGAAAGGCAGCTGAAAATTCTCAAGAAGGTAGTCAAGCGCTTTGAAAATGGGCTTGTATCCTTTTTGCCAGTTTTTAGAACATTAAAATTGTGGTGTATGACATATGTTAATATTTTGACTTCTCAGCAAAGCGCATTGTATGATCTGCTGTGCTTCCAGATGGAGAGCAGTGATGGGCTGCTTATATTGTAATCATTGACCTGTGCACAAATAGCCAAGGTTGGTAGGGTTAGAAAGATTCTTGGATACTAGATTCATTAGCAAATTTGTAGCAACAAAATAAAATACAGAGATAACAGCTGCACAGTGACTGGAAGTATTCAAATGTAAGTGTAAATGTAAATGTAGTATATTTTCAGTTCCTAATAGGCAAGCATAACAGTAGTTACGACTTAAGTAGTAGATTAAATAGCAGTGACTTCTGATTAGGAAACGTTTTAAAGAAAAACAAATTCGCACTAATTTATCTGAAACTTTTTTTCATATTTACAATAGAAATTGAAAGTTTTCTAATAATCAGGAGTACTGGGGAAGCTATAGGAATGTGAAGAATGTGATTAATTTCATACAGTTTAGCTAATTACCACAGTGATTACATTTCTTCACAGCTGAGTCATGGGCATACCCAGGCAGTTTCCCTGAGTTCGGTGGATCAGTAGTAGCTTGGAAGTCTCAGTAAGCTGTTCAGTCTTGATCTTGTGCCTCTACCCTGAATTAGATAATCTCAATATGTGTTTTGGTCCAAATTTTCAGACTTATCCCTAAAGCTGAATACTTCAGGGTTGTTTCAGAAAGAATTTAGGTAGGTGGATCTGACACTGTGATGTAAACATTTTTGTTCTGTATTTTTAGACATTTTTTGTGCTGAACTTCCAGTGAATTCAACTGACATGAAAGCTAAGAGAGTTGAAAGTGTTTTACTTCTGTAAAGTAAGGCTGCTTCCAAGAGCTGAAGTATAGATTTATATGCTTCATCGTAATCATCTGACTTTGAAAACATTGGCCTTAGTTGTTCTTGGTTGTATCTTTGAAGTATGATGAGTAGTTTTCAGCTTTTTCTCTAATTCCTAGCAGTACAAGCAATTTGATTTCCTTAACTTAAAATTAAAAGCCCCTTAAGGATTTAGCACAGATATTTGAAATTCTTAACCTGTGTGCAGAAAAACTTAATGACCAAGAAGCTTTCACTGAGCCTATATGTGAACTTATTAAATTATGTGGGTAAGTACTTCAGCCCTTATTTTAGAGATTTTAAACACTGTTTATTAACATGTTTGTACATTTTTTGAGGCGATTGACATATCTCTATGAAAAGGCATCTGTTGTATCACCCTTCCTTTTCATGTCCCATTCTTTCCCCGAGTCCAATTTCTGTTGGCATGAAGGACCCATTTCAGCAGTTAAGTATCTCCAGAGCTACTTATTACATCATTTAGTACTGTATTATAACTAGCCCCAGCATGCTTGGAAGCAGGATTCTCCAGAGTCTCTCGTTGCCTGCAGTAAACTGTTCTGAGGTTGCTGGCCTCAAGAGATTGAGCAGTAAGTCTTGCTGAAGTGTTTTGTTGTTTTGAACAAGCTCTCTAAGTGGGTTTAAAAACCTGGGGCGATAGAAAGAGACTTTAAGCTTTATGAAATGACAAGCCATATTGCACAAGAGGAAAAACGGCAACTGGAGGATTTTGGATTTATAATCTGATTTAAAAATGTATTACATGATCTTTTTGGCGTCTTCATTGTCATACTGTACTTTAAATTATTTGCCCAGCAGGAAGCAGGTGTTGTTCATGCTTGTCCATGGTTTCCTCTTTCTTCTCATTAATTTAATAAAGTTACTCTTGAAATACTTGTAGCTACAGTTACTCTGGAATTTAATTGTAATTGGTGAGGATATGGAAGAGAAAAATTATGGCAGACAGAAAATGAGTTGCACTGTAAGCCTGATGTTCACATAGATTTTCACATAGCTTCCTCTCAGCTGTTAGATATAATAAACATATAACTCTTCAGCTGATCTTTTCACTTTCTTGATCATCATCAGTTGTACTGCTTTCCTTTGCTGCCACACAGTGGAGAATGGAAAAGTACATCCTGAAGTTTCATTTTCTGTGTGTGGCAGAAATGTGACAAAACTGAAAATGAAGGTGTAAAGTCAGTAAAATGCATTTGTGAATAGTACTTTTCATCTTTATAGCAGTTCAGCAACACTTGCGGTTTCTGCAATTAATGTGTTTGGAAGATTGCACCCTTGGGTTTTTTTTTAATTTTTGTATTATGGAAATTCCCCCCCCAATTCACTGCTACTTCATATGACAAAAAGAAGTCTGTAACTAGAGGGAGGGGCTGTTATTTGGAAATTTCTTTCAGATACTAGAATTTCCATAGTAGCATTTTCCATTTTGTCGTACCTACCTCTGTTTCTGTACCTGTCTTCTTCCTACTTGTTTTTTAATGTCTATTTCTTTATTTTTCCCCATTTAGTCCATTATTTGCTCTCTCCTTTGTTTGTCTGTGTTTACGGAGGTAAACCTACAGGAAAGCTGTTTCTGCACTAGGAGATGCAGAGACCTAGCATGATGTTGTAATGTTTACAGTTAGAGAATTTTTAGCACTTGCATATTTATTTTGTATCTGAGTGTTTTGCAAACGTTATTGAATTTGTCTTAATATCCCATTTTAAAAATAAATTTGGAGTTGGGCTATTTGGAGTCAGTTTATTAGTTTTATTTTTCTCCATTTCTAGAGATCTTGTCCAGGGCTAAGATCCTTTTTTTCATCTCTACACAGGTCTATTAATAGTCTAGCTGAGGAGTAGATTGATATTGCCTAGGTTCCAGGATTTAATCTTCCACATTTAAATTACATTTGTTTGCTCAGATTATTTTTGTTGTACCAAATATGAATTATGAAAACGTTATCTGTGGACACGTACTGCTAGTTGCCGAAATATAGTTGCCAAATTATGGAAGTGGAACTTTCAATGTAGAATCAGCATTGCAAAGAATATTTTTATCCTGGGAAAAGTGTCTTTATTTGCAAGGAAAGTTGAGGAAAAAAAGAAACGCTACTGAGCTTTTCTAATGGCTTGATTAAAGTATTTTTCTACAGTGTTTTAAGCAGGGTTGTAATAACTTGCTTATTTCATTTTGCAGGTTACCTTTTCAAAAAAAGAAATTATCTGATGAAGTAAGCTATTCCATGACAGTTTCAAAATCAATTGCACAACTTGGTGAGTGTAGACTGATATGCCACAATGCCATCAATATAATAAAGTGAACTATATAATTATCACAATTTAAATTGCTTGTTACTCCCTTAATAAGTTTAAGTCATTTCTTTCAATGATTCTATCAGTACTCTATGTTTTTTATTATTGAGAAAGCATTCTTGTTTTGCTGTGCCCTAACCCACCCATTAGCTAGCAGTTTCCTGTTTGCCAGTGTCAGAAGCTATGTGAGAAACCCGTTATCATTACACCTGAAGAACTAAACATCTCTGTGTCCTGTTTAATTTCACAGAACCTCAGAATAGTTGGGGTTGTAGTGGACCCCTGGAGATCACCAGATGCAACCCCCCTGCTCAAGCAGCATCAGCTGGAGCAGGTTGCCCAAGACCACATCCAGTTGGGTTTTGAATATCTCCACGCATGGAGACTCCACGGCCTCTCTGGGCAACCTGTTCCAGTGTTCAGCCATCCTCAGAGTAAAGTGTGTTCTTATGTTCAGGTGGAATTTCTTGTGTTTCAGTTTTTGCCCACTGCCTCTTGTCCTGTCACTGAGAAGAGTCTGGCCCTGTCCTCTTTACATCCTCCTTTCGGATACTTGTACGCATTGGTTCCCCTCTGAGGCTTCTCGTCTCCAGGCTGAACAGTCCCAGCTCTCACAGCCTCTCATCATAAGACAGATGCTTCGGTCCCTTAATTACCTTTGTGGCCCTTTGCTGGACTCACTCCAGTAAATCCATGTCTTTCTTGTACTGGAGAGCCCAGAACTGGACACAGTACAAAATTCCATGTTGTCCTGAGAAATTTCTGTATTATTACAACCCCTGAAGCCTGGGATGGGGGTAAGACTTAATGCTTCTCTGAAGCCAAATGGAAGAAACAAGTAGGACACACTAACTCCTGACTGCCAGCTTAAAGCTTCAAAACCCACAAGCCTTCTGAGAACTGTTTCCCACAAAGGCAAAATACAGCAAGTCAGTAGTGCCATGCCCTACTAGGGACAGCAGCTCCCGACTTCTCCCTCCTACTGCATCTGAGCTGTGAGCTCCTGTCTCTCAGGAATCCATTTGAATAGAGCTGTTGGAGGAAAAGGTGTCAAACTGATGTCTCAATGTCATCGGACTCTTTAGTACCCAACTGTCTTGTTATGACCTTCCTTGTGACAATTGTGATTTTCAAAGAACAGCACTGCAAGTGCCGTAGGTTAAAAAAGAACACAGTATTGAGAGGGGCGATATACCAGCTAGCTTACTTAATGGAAAAATTTAAATGATAGAGAGGTGGGACCTCTCAGAGGTCATCAGCCTGTCACACATGAAAAAAGAACATCCTTGAAATGCATGAGAAAGAAGTTCTTCACAGAAATCTTCATTTTCACAGGCCCAAATAGATAGCAGAATAGCCTCTGAGTTTCAGATAGTTGCAGATTGTCTTTAATGTAGCCTGTCCAAAAACACATTAAAATATAAAAGATAGTTTGTATTATGCATCTCAGGTGTCAGTGGCTCTCAACAGGTTTTCTTTCAATCTTGTGGAAAAGGAGCTCTTTTCTGTGCTCCCGTTAAGTCATATAATGTTTAGTAGAAGCAGAGTTACTAAGATGATCGTGGCAGCAGCCTAGCAGTATACTGGCTTTCTCCTGAGAGTAACTTCTGGAGTAGCATCCAGTCTCTTATAAGGATCTGTAGCCATAAAACAGAGGAGGACACATTTTAATAAACCCTATGCTACTACTCCAAGAACACTTTGTCCTTTTTGATGCTGGAGACCCTGTCTTTTGAGTATTTTTATAATCAAACTTAGCATGACATAGATTTTTAGGGGGTGGGACCAATAAAGACAAAGTACCGTAATTACCGTAAGTACTGTAGAATGATTTCAAAAATAGTTATAGAGTTTGTAAATTATTTTTTTGTTTCTGACAGGTTATTTGATGAGGGTGCCAAGCTCTCAAGTTAGAATACAAATCTGTAAGTGTATTGTTAGCTTTTACAATGTGGAGCCACCGAAAAAACTGCTTTCAGGTAAAACATAGTATTTTCAAGTGTCACTAGAAATCAAATGTTTATCATCCCAACTGCTTTGAAAGGATTATTTAAATTTGCTATAGATGATATTTATTTATAACTGTAGTTACTATGTGTCATTTATTAAATATACAGCACTGGCAAATGTGGAATTAAAATTTTTATAGAAAGGCATGCTCAAAAACTGAAATTATCAATGTACAGCATAGGAATTAATATTGCACATAAAGGATTAAGACTAAATAGTACCCAGAAAGTGTGAGGTGGTCGCAAGTTCTCTGAAACACGGATGGATAATGGAGGAAGAAAGAGTGATTAGGATTGGAGTTATAAGAATGGAAATATTATCATTATCTACTTTGTATGTGTAGCCTGGAGAGAAGCAACTCTGGTTCCACTTGTGTTGCTTGTGAAGGGTAGGTCTGAGCCCATCTAAATTTACTTCTGTCCATACTGTTTGGACACATTTGAGCACAGGCTTTAGATAAATTCTGGGATTCTTTTACAGCGAAACATTAACATAAAATAAAAAGATAAGAGTGACCATACAAAGGTCAGTGCAGTGTATAACAGAGCAGGTGGTGAGAGAAGGCATGTAAGAATAAGGCAAGCAAGCACACCATGATATTTTCCTTCAATATATTGCCCCATTTTCAAACCGTCTGTGTCTTAGAGAATTCCTGAAAGAGAATTTCTTTCTTTTATGCTTAATACAGCTTTATGGGTTTTGTCTTCTGTGAGATTTTCTAACTGCTTTTTATAACCATTTACATCTTTACCTTTCATAGCACCAGGAAGAAATTATTTTCACAATTTGGTGTTGTAGAAGATTTATTTCTTTTTGTTTATTTTAAACCTGTTGCCAAGTAACTTCGTATTATGTCCCCTGTTACTAGCCTTGTGAGTGACAGAAAAACTTCTTTGTGCCACTTTTTGTTATTTATGTGTCTATCATATCCTTTCTTAGTCACCTCTTTTTTCAGGTGAAGAGGCCAAGTCTCTTTAAAGTCTCTTAGTATATAAGCTTTTCAAAGCTTCTTTTTTTGAGAAAGGGTGAATATTTTATGAAATAACCAAAATTCTGAATATTTACTGTATTGTAACTAAAGCTTTTGTATGTGCAGGTTACCAGCCAACAAGCGCAAACTATAAAATTCAGATGGCTGAATTAGGAGGATTAGCAGAAACTCTTGTTTTATCACTAGCATTAGTTGAAAATCAACTTACTGAGAAGTTATGGGTACTGAAAGCTCTGCAGTATCTCTCTAGCTCTGGTGAGTACAGACTGTTCTTTCAGCAATCTCATTACTTCTGATTGTTTGTTCTTTGAACGTGCCTGAAACAGGTACTGACCTACAGGGGATTAATTATGCAGATTTTTATAATTTCAGGAGTAAACTGCAGACTTATGCTTAAGGCCCAGGCAGCCAGCAGACTCTGTGTGCATCTAAATGATGCTGATCCCTCTGGACAGCTGGTATTCCGTTCATCAGAAATCCTGTGGAACTTATTAGAAAACACCTCAAAAGAAGAAGTTGTTAATCAGCTCAGTAGCTTGGAATGTGTACAGTAAGTACAGTGAAGCATTTTATGAATTAATGTTATGATTTTGGAGACATCTAAAGCATGATGTCTTACAAAGTAAATATGTAAGTGCCTGCCAGGTACCTTATGAACTCTGTGGCCACGGCCCTGCTAAAAGCACTTCTAGCCAACTTGAAAAGTAGTTCATTGTAAAGCCTCTCTTCACTTTATGAATCACAGTGATCCACCACCAGTTGTTTCTCGTATATGGCAAAAGGGAAGTCAAGGTGCTTTGCTGCATAAGTACAGAAGGTATAGCCTTAACTACTGCTTTGTATGATGCAAAAATTAACTGTATCATTTTCAAGCTCGTGTATCAGGCCTGATAGGTCAGTATGACTGCACTGTTGAAATGTATATGTTATACAATTGGTAGGAAATTATATGTTACAATATGCGAGGCTTAGATCCTCAGTTGAAGGAAATATAGGTTCTCCCTTAGTGAGTTATGGTGTTTTCACTGTTTGGGATTAGACCATCTCCTCTCCATAATCATTCAACTACATCCAATTAAGTATTTGCATGTTTGAATAAGTGTTATACCTGTCTATTAATTCATTATAACACATATAATGCAAGGTGAACTTTGAAATACATGTACCTTGCATACATGCTTAAATTGGATGTCTAGCAGTATACATAAAAATCCATTTCATAGTAAAATTTTGAGTTACTTTTCTTGCAGTTGAACCCTAAGGCTTTGAAAAGTATGATACTGAAAGGGGATTCATATATGCGAGAGCTATCTAAAATAAGATTTGGAAAGAAAAGATAAAATACCTCTCACTTTCTTCTAAGTGCTTTGAAAGAAGTATTTGTACACCTTTTCATGCACGGTTTCCGCAATTATGATCGTCAGCTAAGAAATGACCTCTTAGTGATTGCCACGTTAGTAGCTGAAAACCCTGCAGCACCTATGATTGTAAGTATTCGCAGTTACATACCAGAGCCTAGTAACTTTTTTTTGCTGTTATGCACTCAGTGTTTTACCCCATTCAGATTCTAATGTTTGTGCCACTCTGTCTCCAGTGCGTTTCTCTTTCTTAGGTTTGCTGAGCAGGAAATCTTGTTTTTACTGCTGAGATTTAGAACTTCAAATTAAGTTGTGAAATACTGAATATGCAATCATCAGATTCCTATTTATAGAGATTTATTAGCTACTGTTTTGCAGCTTGATCAGGAGTGGATTATTTTCAGGGAATTCATTTTTATTTCAGTAGGAGTGTCCCAACTGGCTCTATTACTACATAGGTTTTATACTCTGTAATGAAGCTTACAGATTTTCATTCAGGTTTTCTATTTTCTCACTAACCATTTTTTAAGGTCTATTATATTATTGCAGCAACATAGTTGAAGTCTGAAACAGTCAAATCATTTATCTGGCTGCAGGAACAAAGCAGTTTTGTCCTGCAAGATAAGTAGCCAAGACACAATATTTTAATTCCTTATATTAAAAGAAAAAAATAATTCGACACATAATAAATGTTTCCATTTAAATTCTCTATTCTCACCTTTCCTAGAGATTTTATTTCACTTCTGGAGAGAAGGTATAAGGTCTGCATATCAGATGGAAAAAAAAGTTAATATTACTATTGAATCCTGTCTTGTAGAGAACACCAGAGAAATTTTCATCTGAGCTTTTATCTTTTTTTTATTAACATAGTGTCCAAGCAAATACAGAAACCTCAGGCTTATATTTAACATAATTCAGAGATCAGCACAGGTATCTGAACGTTTGAAAGGAAAATAATTTTCTCGCCACATGTAAATTGCAGAATATAAGTAAAGTAAGGCTTATAATAGTATTAATTATGATTATCTCTGTGTTATAACAAAACCGTCTGCTTAGAATTACTTACTGTTTTCCACCAGAATTTAGTACTGCAAGCAATAGTAATCAGCAAGGCAAAAACAGAAATAATTTTTGGTGTAACCAGTTGGTTTTAATTATCTGCTTTGCGGTGGCTTTGTAAAGGGAATATGATACCATGGAGCTAAAAATAATGGGAAAATGCTTATATGCTTCAATATTTTTTATTTAAAATGACCTTTGCCGTATTTTTCTGACTGTTAAAGCCATTTAGGTGTGTGTTAAGGGGCTGATCAAATCTAAACCCTTTTGAGGGGGAGGATGCATCTAAAAAGGTGCTGCAAAACTACTGATCTGCTTGATTCTGCAGGGATGGTCTGTGCAGGGTTTTGAGCTCTGCTCATTTTGGGAGCTGGCAGAAAGCTCTGTGGTGAGTTCAGCAGAGTACTGAGGCCAAGGTAATGTATTTGGCGCTCAAGAAGAGCAGGGCCATGCCAACTATGTTTATATGGCTCCAGTTACCTCAGAAACAGAGCTCTTTTGCCTCTAGTGCACTGTGTATATGCCCCGGGTCTTGGCCCTACCCATGGTTACATTATACGTAATTGACCTGTTGGCTGTGTAGAAGCTGTGAATTACGAGATTTCGTTTTCTGAAATGCATCTTATAAGCATTACAATGTAAAATATTTATAGATGCAGGTTGTTCATTCGTGCAGTTTTTGTATGCTTACTTGTAAGTGCACTCAAGTTGAACACAAGTGTATTAGTATACATAACTGAATGCACAAAATTACATAAACTGGTGACCCTGGAGTACAAACTTATATGTGCACAAACACGTGTTAAAAACACAACTTTAACTGTACTGGACAATAGCGTTTTCTTGTGTGGTAGATTACAGTAGTGAATACATGGGTTTGGGGCTTCCCCGGACAAGTTGACGCTTGTACAGAATGAGGCACAGGTTTAACTAACTCTTAGCATTATGATTAGTATTGTACAAGGTCCAAATGGTTGATCTCTTTTTTGATAAAGTTCTGATCATTCTGCAGTAGGATAGATTAAAGTCTGATGTGTTCTGAGGAAAAAAGTAAAACTTAAATAATCAGTTTTAATTTCAATGTAATTTAATTTAATTAACATATTTATTTTGAATGCCTATTAGGAAAGTGGATTCACAAAGCAGTTAGTAGCACTTGCAACATTTACTGAAGGTAAGAGATTTTATACTGGTGGGATTTAAATATTACTTCATAATTATAATATTTTGACTTTTATCAAATACTTTGTTTTAACTTATCTCCAATTTCCTTCACAGTTAAAATCCCTAATCCCTTGGTAAAAGGTCTTAAACTTACCTACTCTTATGAGGACTTTGAGCTGAAGAAGTTGCTGTTTAATGTAATAGGTGTCTTATCTAAAGACCCGTGTGCTGTACAGGTAAACTGTAGCAGAACAGAACATACTGTAAGCAAAAAAGGGGCCAAGAATTACAGGAATATTATTTGGCTGTCCATATGACGTGGCTCAGTAAATAACCTGCTCTTGCTTAAATCAAGCATTCAAAACTATACACCATACATAGCTTCAAGCCAAGTCCTGCTGTTTGAAAACATTGTATTTTTCCATTTTTAGAAAAGCTACAAACCTAGACCATGCTAGAAAAATTAGCTGATGAGTGCCTGCAAAGCATTACTGAAATGCAGGTGAAGAACAAAACAGAGTTTCATAAACCACAGCCTGTGGGAATGGTACAGAATATAAACAGAGTTTGTCTGTGCTTGCACCATTCCCAACATCCGTTCTCAATAAAAGATAATATTCTTAGTATAAGCCAGACATGTTTATGTTTGTTGTTCTCTGAATATTCTAGCAGTCTAAAGGGGCCTGTAGACAGAAAGAGAACTATAATGTGCTTTCAGAGGTCTCCCACTCTGTAAAATTGGTGGATCAAAACAAAGGGGCTTACTTGTTTAGACAGAGCCTTGTTGACTTACTGTGTGAACTGATAATCTTGCCTCACTGTAGAAATACAAAATATTTTTTTCTCTTAAAAAATGTTTTCCTTTAATGTGCTGTCAATCACTGAATTAATCAATTACTGTGGACTGATGCACTGTCTACTGGTATGCTCATATTTCCTTGAGACTAGGTTTTGTCAATATTTGGAAAATCCTTCCTATAAGCAAATCAGTGTATTTTAAATATTTCAAAAAGGTGATGGGAAAAAATAAGGCTAAAATCATTTAAAAATAAAGTTGATTCATTGTTTTAGATTTTTCTTATTTACATGTGAAACCTGTAAGCTATATTTGTTTCTCTTTGTCTTTTGACTCTGCAGTTTCTCAGTGAAAATGACGTGATGCCAGCTTTGCTTTATTATGTAAAACCAAATCAAAAGCCTGGATTTCATGACTGGTCTGCTGCCCAATATGAAGAATTACAGCTTCATGCAATTGCTATTTTAGCCACAGTGGCTCCCTTGTTGCTAGATAAATATTTGTCCTGCCAAGCGAATACTCTCCTTCTTGTATTTCTAGAGTGGTGTGTAGGCCAAGGTCAGTAGATGTTCATGTCTTTCCTACAGAGTTACCTCAAAACACAGCTTAATTGGACTTAATTAAGCCTTTCTAACATTAAAAGAGTCTTTTGTTTGTTTGCTTTCAACTTATTTCCATTGGTAAACCATAATTTTTTTTTCCTTAGCACATTATTATTCTGAATATGTACAGTCTGCTAAAGAAAATATTCATTGTGATTGCTCCACAGATCCCTTCTTTGGTCAAGGTAACAGTTTCCATGGAACAGGTGGTCGTGGCAGCAAACTTGCACAGATGCGCTACAGTCTGAGAGTGCTGAGATCTGTTGTGTCCCTCTATGATGATGCTGTGAACCTTAATTTATGTGACCAGGGGGCAATTAGCCAACTACTGGGTAAAGCACAATTTGTATTGCTGTACTTGCAATAATACATTTCTGTTGACAGTAGGACTTGTCCATGCTTTTTCTTATGCTATGGTTTTAACGTTACTCATTTGACTGAAAAACTGAAAAAATAAGCTAGAAAAACTAATATAAGAAGCAATGGATTTGATTTTTAATATCATGACACTTTAACACACCGAATTGAAGGAGTTAAGCAAAAATCTAGATATATGACTTCAGAGTGAGAGCTGTGCCTACTCTCTCTTTTATTATACTTAATATTTGTTACATCTTATTTATTTTCATTGTGTTAGCCCCTAGGAACTCCAGCCATAAGGAGTAGTCTTGTACTTGTCTACCTCAGTATCACTTTCCACAGCTCCTCTTTAGAACAGAAGAGAATTAGAGACAGAGTATTTTACAAGAGTAGTGTTATGAAGGATAAAAGCAGCGTAAAACTGCTACGAGAACATTGTTCTCGTAACTCATTTAGATCATTTTCCTGATCAGTAATGTATTTGTACTATTACGTGTTATTTTGAGTGCTGATACATGTTAGGTTCTTTTCTTACAATAATGAAAAGTTTGCACTGCTCTGAAAAAAATCATATTAGAAGTAATAAAAAGGTAAGACAGTTTAGAATTCAAAGAGTACATTATAATGGAAAGGCTAGAAATGAAAGATTTCATATTCCCCGTTGAAAGCTGAACTCTGGTGAAAACTCCATGAAAACTTTCAGATTTTAGCGAAAGCAAAATTTACACTATACACTACATATCAGATTGAGGCAACTTTTTTTACTCCCAGGAGAGCTCTCTGTCTCAATATCCTCTTTCAGATAGTGATTGCAAGGCTGATTCCCTCAGCAGTGGGTGGTGGCATTTTGTCTCTCCCGCTTTCCCACTGTCAGTACAGATGCTTGTGAGGCTGTATGATAGAGAAGGTCAGGGAGTTCCATGTCTTATTACTAAGGGCTGTTCAATACATGTCTGTTCCCAGTTGCACTGGCACAGTGCAAGAGGCAGCGTAGAGAAAGGAACAAGGGGCTGAAAGTGCTAGCAAAAGTCAGTGCAAGCTACCGTCTTTAGCTCTGCCACCAAGAGCAAGGTCCGTGAAACTACAGCATCAGAGGGGACTGCACTTCTCTAAGCTATCGTAAAACACAGGAGATAAAACTGAATAGCATGAGTAGATTTCCTTAGAAATCTCTTGGTGTACATTTGTTTTTTAAAAAATCAATAGCTATAACAGAACTTACATAGACTTACATGAAGGGCGTTCATATGTATAAAATACATTCTTTTGTAGATATCCTAAAGTATGCAGCAAACAAATCTAAGGAAAAAGAAGATGCCATTCTGCTGGAGATCCAAGCTGATATATTATTTATTCTGTCTACTCTCTGTGAAAATGATCTCCACAGAAAGGTTTGTATCTTTCTACCTCATACTGTGCACATAAAATGTCACAATGTGGTACATTTTCATTTCAATGATACTCCTTCTTTTTTCTTCAAAGACAGATGTCAGTTGCAGTTCATCACTAGCAAGTCAGGACTGATAACTGGTTTCTGTGACAATGACAGTTAAAATATAAAATCATTCAGAATTCCATTAGCCAGTGTCTCACGTATTTAATTGTTAGTACATAATTTTAAAAATGGAAATGTGAAAATGTGCTAAGGAATGGGGTTATCAGATAGGAAGAACTAAGAATCTCTTGTTCTCACATATAGCGTAAGGAATATATCCTACTCTAAAGAGTGGGGCAAACTACTACAATGTAAATATTTCTATTTTCAATTTCCTCTGGATTTTATTATATGTAGTTGTTTAGTAAATATTATTTAAGAAAAATATTGCTTTAATTAATGTTTAATTAACAGGAACTCTTTGGCTATGAAGGAGTGGATATACTTATCCCATTCTTGCAGATGGATCCGAATAAGTTATTTAGTGGATTAGGCCACGTTCGACTCCTTTTCAGTGCACTGGACTGCTTGTGGTTAGTAAAGAAGTATTCTTAGCAAGAGGAACTCTTAAAAAGGGGAGGTCTTGTGTTTTAGGTCTGCAATGCTATGGTCTTTTCTCTGCACATGTAGGCCATTCTTCTATTTAAATTGTGGAAAAATCCATTATACAGTTTGACTAGTTAAGAAATTATAAATGGAATATTTTGCATGAGTTCTGGCCTAGACAGGGACTCGGTGAGACAGGCTAACTCCCCGCATAGCAGTCAGAAGAGCAACCCCCCCCAGTGCTTCAGTGCAGAGTTACCTAAGAGTTCGTAGAGTAGGTTCATGGTTAGGGTCTGTAAATAGCTTTAGAAGAGTACATACAAGGAGAGAATAGACTGATATCAGCTAAAAACTATATAGGCACAAGAACAGGTGTTTAAACTAGCTATATATTCAGCTAGAAATTAAAAAAGATTTTTTATCAGAAATGATGTTTAGAACACCAATACATAGGATGACAAAAATGAGCTCATTTTAAGACAGAACTTGTTAAATACGTAGAAAGCTAAATGATATGTTTGTCTAGGAGAAAAAAATTGGACTCAGCGATGCAGAATATCCATTCCAGACCAGATCCTGAAATGAGGAAATAAGAGAAAAAGCAGAAGTGCCATGAATGCTGGTTTTATGATCATTTTAAGCTGGGAGAAGCCTATACTGTTGGCAAAACAAACAGTTTTCTATGTCTCACCCCCTCCTTCCTGCTGGCAGGAATACTCCTGCAGGTCTGCAGTGAATCAGATTAGGGACATGATCTAGCTAAATACTAGCCTGTTTTACTGAGTTAGTTTTAACTGAGCTTTAACTCCAATATGAGTGAAATTGAATTAGATTGAATTCTAATCCAATTCATTGTGAACCTGCCCAACTTCTTGGGCTGCCACAAGGAAGGTTCCAGCCACGGGAGAAGAAAGAGCAGTCAGGTGGGCTATATTTAGTAATACAGTGTAAATGAAAAAGGGTTTTGTAAATGCACGGATAAAGGCATGTGAAACAGTTTTTCCGCTCCCTAGAGGTATTAAGCATAGTGCATACCAAATATTTTTAATGCAACTTGGTAAAATAAATGAGATGTTTGTAGGATGTCTTAAAGCATAAAAGCAGTTCTAAACACTGAAATTATTTCTACTTAAGGTCCTGTATCATTGGATGTTACATTGCAGAGGATTCTTTTCTTGAAAAACAGGGCATTTTCCTCCTCCTGGATTTGTTGGCAGTAGGTATTTCTATTATTGTTGTTGCAGAATAAAACAGCAGTATAACAAGCATGGAACATTGCCAATTTTTTTGTCATGGTATCTTCTAGAATTATTACAGTAATAACATGAAGGCCAATGTCTGTAATTCCCTGAGATAGGAAGGTAACCACACACCAGAATATCTGCTCAGAAATGATTGGACAGATTTTCCATGTATCTTTTTTTAAAAAAAAATAAGTATTTGACCAATGTAATTTTAAATTAATTTTCAAAATAGTCTTTTTTAACAGAAAATTCAAACCATACTTTCACTTAGGATGACAGTTCTGTTCAGAAAAGCACCTAAGTTCTTCATATGGAAGTCAGCAAGAACAGAGCTAGTACGTACTGAAAGGCTTTACAAGTCCTGATGTTTAAAACGTTACTTGTACGTGCAGCTAGGATGTATAGCTATTTTTATGGGTCTTGGATATGCAGCTGGCACAGGCATATCACCTCTCATGAAGCGTGCTCCTTGCTTGTTCCATTCCTCCCGTATTCTCGCCAGCCACGCTGCCAGCCTCTGATGCCGTTGCAGTGCAAAGATGCAGACTCTCTCCTACTCTCCCCTGCTTCTAACAGATCACGTCACAAAATAGAACAGATGCTCCGTAGTACTGCTCAGCCACTGCCTTCTGAGTTTTTCTTACACAAAAAACCTTGGTAGCAATACATTCCCCAGAAACTTCAGTTGTCCAACATGTTAGCCTGGAGGCACGTGTGTCATATAGCTCCACACCCAGGTATTTTTAACTTTTATGATCGTACACCTGTTCCCCTCATAGCCGTTGATTTATGGCAAGATTGCAGAAACCTGAGAGATTTACAAGTTTATACAGCAGTTTTGTACAAATAGTTGTGATGAAAGGCTTGTAATTACTTGATTTCTTATTACAGGGCTTTTCTTACTTTCTTTGGAAAACTTTCACTGTGTTAGGGGCAACTTAAAACATTTTTTCCTTTTTCCTTCGATAAGTTGAAGCAAAAGAACCTGTGCAATATAATTCTTGGAATTCTGGTTGAATTTTGTGACAACCCTAAAACCACTTCTCACATCAATGCCTGGCGTGGAGAGAAGGATCAAACAGCAGCTAACCTTCTAATACAGTTATGGAGACAAGAGGAGTTGGAGCTAGGAGTCAAACGTGATCAGTATGGAAGGATTGTTGGTAAGCTTTATGATAAATGTGAAACAGTTTGTGAACAGTAACACTGAATAAAGCAAAATGGAATACAGTGTCCACTTTTGCCAGCTGAGTCCTGATGACAGTAAATTATGATAGTTACAGCATTATGCTATAGTTTTGACCAAATCCATATATATCCTTATAAGGTATTTTGTTAGTTTTGCCACTAGATGGCGTTTTCTACATTAGCTGAGCAACAGAACCATGACTAACGTCCTGAACTGCCTTTTTAATGGTGGACAATTAAGCCATTTAATTTTTCATCTGTGTATTAATTGTGTTTCTTAACAGAATTTTCCTTCATCCCAATTCTAGGTTTATTTGTAGGTATTTTTCTGGAGAGCTTCCCCAGCAAAATGATGACATTTTACTTTTGTATACTTTGTAAAAAGAAGCAAGGGGAATGTTATGGTATCATAAATCTTTAGTCATGGTAGTTAGTGTTTTCTGGCCCAAGTTATGCTTGAATTCCATGCCAAACTGTGGAAATGATTCACGTTAGTATGCAAAAAGTAAGATGGAACTAGCTTCTTTCGCAGAAGGCATCCTGGGAAAGAACACTTCAGCAGCAGCCTGCTAAAGATCCTTATGCTTTATTTACACAGATGCCATTTCCTCCACGTTTAGTAACTTTGGGGACATAGCACTTCTTCCTCCTCCTTCTACTACTGTTTTGTGTTTTGAAATTATTAGACATGAAGAGACCTATTGTTAGCAGCTTCCAGAAACAGCAAGAGGTCATCCCCATGCCTGCCAACTGTCCTAGCTTTGCCATCGTAGAGATTTCGGAAAACATGAGGGCAAAACTGTATTCATTATTATGCAAACTAGGTAAGACAAATGAATTGCCTCCTCAGTGTCATACCTGTCATTAATCCAAACTTGGTTACTGACAATAAAATCACTGTTAAATAAGATGAAAGGAAATCTTGAGGTACATGGTCAATATTTTGTTATTAATGGATGCTTGTTCATCCTGTTCTTAAAAGCATCTATTGATGAGGATTTTCATGACCTCCTCAATGCTTTACTCTTCTTACCATAAGGGAGATTTTTCTAGAATCAAACCTAAAATTTGCTTAAAATTTGCTGTAATTTGCTTTCCCACTCAGAACACTTGCTTTTCACGTATTCGAATACTCTTATGTTTCATTTCAATCTGTCTTCTCTGGATTAAGGTGACCTAATTTTTGCAACGTTTACTCACAAACCTCATTTTCCAGAATAACCTCTGGTCATTGTCATTGGTTTTGGTTTTTTATTTTCTCTTGTGTCTTTCCAATTGGTTCATATTCTTCCTGAGTTGTAGCATTCCCAAACAGCACAAAATACTCCAGCTGAAGCCCCACCACAGCCAAATAGAACTATATCACTCAATTTGTCGGTTCTAACATTAATATTAATGATTGGTATATTCCCAATGGCATGATATTGTTTACTCATTTGATTTGTGATCTTGTACAGCCCCCAGTAAAGTACCACCCTGGATTTGTACAGATTACTACTCCTACTTTGTATATGTTCTTACTGAACTACATCCTGTATTTTCAGATACTTTTTCAAATTTGCAAGACCAATTTATATTCTAATCTTTTCCTTCGATATGCTGCAGTCTTTCTTAATTTGTTATTTGCACACTGAATATGAATATGCATTACACCCTCACCTAAAAACCTGAACTGAAGGTTTAGATAATTATAAACTCTTCAGCATTCATAAGGCTTCTTACCTAGCTGTAAACAAAAATTAGATTGATTGACACGGTTTGTTTTTAATAATTCATGTTTTCTATTAATGTTTTCATTGTTACTGTTTAGCTGCATAAACATTATTTGTTTAATTATGTGTTTCAGTCTTTTTCAAGAACTGAACTTAACCAGTATTCTCTGGCTCCTCCTTTTGTTCTTTTAAAAAATAGGTATTGTGTTTGTTCTTTTCCAGTCTGTCCCCTACAGGTTCAAACTTCTGAGATTGCTTCAACCAGTTCCCTGAATACCCTAGGGTGGATTTCCTCAGTCCCAACTGATTTGAAAACATCTTTAGTTTCTCTAATAACCCATAGCCAGTTCTTTCTCTCTTGTAGCCCAGGTTCTTATGTTAGTGTTAATTATATTAAACGCTGGATCACAGCTGAATTTCTTACTTTACTTTGAAGCAAAAAGGCATGAGCCTATGTTCCAGCTTTCTCTTATATTCACACATACCTCCATATACTTATGTAGATTGTAATGTCTGCTGTGAAGTACTGAAATGACATGGAAGTGGATAATAAAAAAAAGGATAGATTTTTATAATTTTTAGTGAAGTCATGATTTGTAACAGCCTGTGACATGACAATCCAGAAAGCTAGTGTTAGTCTACCTGTATCTATGGCATTTCTTAACTTCAAAATGTGATACAATCATACTCTAATAAGTATGTGCTACATTCCCAGTTACTACACAAATGGTATAATGAAATCTGTACAGAGATTTGATATACTATTTAGATATAGTTGCAAAAAATTTTTGAGTATAATTGACATACAGCATGCTCTTCCTTATTCTTTTATGTACTTAGAAATATTTTTTAAAACATGGAGTCATCATGCTCAAGGCGTGCAGGTCTATGAAATGAAGACGACCCTCATTACCCAGCCTTGAAACAAATACAATTCTCCTGTTGGCTACTTTGCAGCTAAAGCAAAGTATGTTTGTGCTGAATTGCTTCTTTAAAAACAGTGACCAATGGACTTAACTGTTTATCTGCTTTAAATGGAAGAACAAACGCTCAAAAGCATAGCAAATGCAGTGCTGTCCTGGCTTTACAAGTGATTGGAAGGTCACTGGAGCTACTCACAAGTAAAGAATTAGTGTGGAGTGAATCTGTTACAGAGTAAACGGTTACTTTTTCCTCAAAGGCCTGCTCAGGATTGGAGTGACTTACTTATGTACATATGATGAAGACTTTGCATGTGATTATATGACAAATAAGACAGTATCTTGTTTAGAATGTTATATTTTAAGATAAATAGATCATGCTGATAATACTGAGATGACTAATGTTCTTTTAGGTTTTGAAAATTTACCTGGCTTGTCTGCTAAGGATTTTGTCACGCTTGCTATCATACGTCGTTATCTTGACTTTAAAGTGAGTATTGTGGAAAAAATACTAATACTGTCTCTGTGTTTGCAAAAACAGCAAATACATCTCAGGACACAACAAATATAACCTTTCAATAGCTAAACAAGTCCCCCGTAGTTTCACAGGGAGTAGGAGCCAGAGTTACCATCAAAAGAAATAATCCCACCTCCATTGTTCCAACAATCTCCAGACTCTTCCTTTGTGCTACTACAAGTGTTTGTGACTGGGTAGTGAATCTGACCAGAAACCAATGCCAGTTAAAAATAACTCAGGAAAAAAAAAAGTTGTCTCTATTTGCCAGCTCCAGAAATAGGAATGTGCAAGGATGGGACTAAGCAACTGGGGAAGGGCTGGAGAGCAAGACTGCCCCTTTGCGCAGCAGGACAATTTATGTAGCTTTTTGGTATTGCAAATGGCTTTAAATGCACATTTTGATAAGGGATCTTTCCATGCCTTCTCTTTGTGTCCACATGCACTATTCATCCATACTATCAAAACTTGGAGTTATACAACTGTGGCTACAAGAAATAAGAATAGGGTGACAGGCTTTGAAGGGGCCATCCTACTGAAAATATGCTTCAATTTATGCTGATCTTTTGCTTGGAACAAAGTCTGTGAGAGCTTGATCGGATCTTTAGTTGATAGTTCCAAGTTCCATGTTACGGTTTGCTCTGGTAACATGCGCAATTTGAGATTTTACTGAAGAAGCCATGAAAACACAACATTTTTCTCCTGTAAAATGTGA